AGAACATGGCATATATGCCCTCTGGATCCCAGGAATTGTGACAGCAGACACCAGCGAACTGCAGACTTTTCCACAATCTCTCTGCTCCTCATCCTTTTTTCCTTTTTCCTCGTAAATTTGTACATTTACCATTTTTTTCTCCGAATTTTTCCCTTTTTTCTCCCAAAGTTGCAAATTCTTTGCTATTATAATTGTCAATTAAATTGATAAATTTGCATTTGTATTTTTCTCTCAGAACTTTCTTTTACATTTTTTTCCTCAGGTAACTCGAACATTTCTTTCTGGTAAATTAGATAAGCTCCAGTTCTTCTAAAGATTTGTTGTTTTTGTATTGTTTTGTTGTTGTTGTTTTTTTAGTTTCATATTTTTAATTTAAACCCATTTTTTTTTAAAATGAAAAATTTCAACTTAACCTTGAAAAGTAAAGCAATGCAGCTTTGCCCTTTTTACTTTATACATTTGAGTTTTTTCTTGTAAAGTTGACCATTTTTTTCACCTAAATGTCTTTTTCATGAGTTTTCCTATTTTTTCTTCTGCGTTTGTGAATTTCTTTTCAATTTTTGTTTCTCTAAAACTTTTTTCTTGTAAATTTCCTAGTGTTTTTTTCCTCACAAATTTGAGACTTTAATCTCAAATGCCACTTTGTTTTTTTCTTGGCTTTACAAATGTGTAAAGCTATCCAAGTGTTCATAAACACTTGGATTGCTATGTAATTTTCAGTCTTTTAAACACCACAAGACGAAGGCCACTTACTTGTTTATTAAAGTGAAAGCAGACATTTCCAAAACTGGCCACTCAAATGAGAAAAATCTTGATACTTGATGGATAAACAATACTAAACCTCGGGGGAGAAATATTTCAGTGAGATTCAAACTGTCTCTTTAATCTCTTCATGAAAAGGATGAGTCAGTCATTGTCTGGGAAATGGTTGTGGTCTCCTGCAAATAGTTGTTTCGGTTAAAGCCTAACAAACTGCTGAATTTGACTAAGAACAGATCCCTTTTTTCTACAGCACATG